CTGAAATCTTTTCTTTTTTTTCTTTTTAGATATAGATAGATACTCAAAGATTGATAGTGAACTTTAGGAGCTTCTCTTAAAATAATAATGCGTTAATCTAGTCGTTCTTTTAACTACCGATAAGATGACTGTTTTAATTATTAGATTAAAATATTAATGATCTGGTTTAATAAAGCATCGTTCATTTCGCGGATTTGAGTTTTCAATTTAAGTTGAGATGTGACATTTTCTGAGAGCTTTTCACTGTAGCAGAAAAAGTTAGATGTGATATTTTCTGAGAACTTTTTACCGTAGAAAACTAAAACTAAAAACTCGAATCGGTGAAATGAACGAGACCTAAGTGTTCACATAAAAATTTTATAACTCACAAACGGAGATATTATAGTCATAGATCATATAGTTAAAAATTGTAAACTTCTGTGGTAGATATTGTCATTTTATATTTTAAATAGTAAAAAATTTGAAAAAGAATGAGTTGGTAAGGAGAACTAAATCTAAGATTTATTGTATAAATTTTAATATTTTATAAATTTCCAATTTAACTCAATGATAAATGTGAGATTTACTCCATCAAATTTAATAAATTAAAATTTCTTTTTTTTTAGAATTAGTAAATAGCATATTTATAAAACTAAATTAAATAAATAATAAGTTTTAAAACTATTTATTTCATTTACAACTAGTAAAAAGATTTTTTTCACGTAAATTTTCTCTTTATGATTGTTAAAAAGACTTTTTTCCACATAAATAATGATTTTTTACCACCTAAATTATTTTTTATCAATCATATATAACACATTTACACGGTAAATTATTATTTACTTCAAATAATTTTAAAATTTTTTATTTACAGAATTTAGTTTCAAAATCTACTATTTACTATAAGCCATGTTTGAAATTGTTCTTATTTTTGTTTTTCACGTTTTTCAAGAAAAAAAAACGGAAAATAATTTTAAAACGGCGTTTGGCACAGTTAAAGACAAAAACTAAAAATGAAAATGATTTTTTGGTTTAGTGTAAAATGGGAGAGAAATAAAAAACTACATTTAGTCATTTTTCATTTTTTATTTTCCTTTGCTCATCTCTCAAGCATAGAGAGAGGATGAGACATTAATGAGTTTTTTATACTGAAAATAATTTCTTAATAAAAATACCAAACGCATTTTTAAAAATAATTTCTGTCTGATATTGAAATCGTTTTCATTTCTATTTTCTTACAAAAAATAAAATATTTTTAGAACGAGTTCCAAACGCGCCTATAATTTTTCCCTTTTTTATTTTTTAGTGAACAAAAGGTTTTGTTAAAAACGGACAAAGACCAAAATGTCCATCACTAGATAGATACTTCCATTTATCCATTATTAAATTGGGTAAATCAATCCTTTACTTTATTTACTCAAATGAAATTGTTAATTGTATGGATTTTTTATTAATGTTTACTAATATCTTATATACATAACATTAATTAATTTTTTCATCTATATAAGTGGTTTTAATGATTAGTCTAATATATACTCACTGATAAATTAAATATTACCTAATCATGTGATATTAACTATTATTAACTATATGCATTTTTAATCAATATTTACTAATTTTTTATTTACATAACATTGATTTTTTTATCCATATAAGTAGGGTTACTCTAATATTTACTCATTAGTAAATATTATCATTTAATCATGTGATATTTATCTAATAGTCATAATTTATCCCGTTACATCATTAAATTCATATATTTGATAAACCACCAATGTATTTGATATTGATATGACAATTATAAATAACAAGATTGGATTCTTATCACGTACATCAACAAATTTCTATATTTGATTAATCACAGATGAAAACATACTCATTTAAAACTCGGCCATATATATAATGTAATCTTAATGGTTACTCTAATATTTACTCATAGAAAAGTATCGCTCATTAAACCGTAAGATATTAATCCGATAATTTTAATAAATTGAATAGTTGACTAAAAAATTTATGATAATGAAATTGAATTCTAATAAAAACCATATTATGTAAACATAACTATTAAAAACTCACCCACATATTATATATATATATGGATTTAAACCATAAAGGTAAACAGCAGAGACCAATCTGAATATCATTAGCCAACTCAAGGAAGAAACAAATCCCTTCTATACCTTCACAACCATTACTCATTCCATCAAACAAAACCATTAACAATGTGTGCCTCGCTACAGATGTATCGCTGTGTTTCCACATGTATTTTCCCATGAAATGTACATTACGGTTTAGAAAAAGAAATGCTTTTTACGGGTCCGTTTATTTGCAGTATCACTCCATTTTTCATGAATCGCGGCAATGGCATGTGCTATGTACACAGGCTATGCATTACCTTTTTTGCTTTGCTTTGGGAATTTCTCTATGCAGTCATCTTCCTAGGGATTACATGGCCTCGAATAGAACCCGATGCTCCAGTAGCTCCGACAGAACATTCCTCATTTTGTCGATAGAAACAGGTTTAAGAATAACTCCATCCAGCCCAAATCTAATGCAGTTCTCCTTTGTCGACTTGTCTGTATTCCCAGTAAGTACTACAACCAGCGGTCTGTCATGACGTTTTCCAAATCTTTCACGTATGCGGCTGGCAAGTTCGTAACCATCCGTGCACACATCCATGAACACCACCTTGTGTTCCTGAGAAACAATGCATAAGCACTCGTCACCGGAGCTCACAGTTGTAACATCACACCCAAGATGCACAAGAAGTCCCTTTGTCGCTGACCTGCTTACCCTGTATTGCAAGGAAAATTTAAGTTTGCATAAAATCGTGAGTTAGTTCAAAAATATATATTAGAAACAAAATGAATACATTTCAAAGTAACCATACGCATTGTTTTGTAACATTTATGTTAGTAATACGTCATTGGTATGGTTGAAATGGAAAGAAAATATTTGACTAGATGCCCAATGTTTTAGAATGCTGATTAACAGATTAAGAACAATACTACTTACAAATTTGATCCAACTCTGTACTCTACAGAATATCAGCAGTTTCCGTGAACACAAATGCAAAAGGAGCATAAAACTCCAGCCAAAAAATAAGATGCACGGAACCAAGTAGAATCTACAAAACTTATGTTTCATTCACTAGCAGAAAACTGGCTTTTTTTTCCATAAACTACAAAGAAATTCCTATTATTCTCAGACTCTTAGCCACTTCGAGATTCCCACTTCCAAATGTCTCTCCCTTCTGACTATCCTAAAATGTAATAAAAGTACTATTATAACCATTGGTGATGCAATCACATAGATGCGACAATGTATTAGAACTGCCACAGCAGTAGTGCAGTATCCAGTGGTATACCTGCTGCCGTGTTAATTGTATGTTTTGCTATCTCTTATGGCAGTCCATTAGTAGTCGCAATAAATAGTGATAATTGAAGAGAAAAAAGTGTAACACCGCAGCAATATATTTTCAGTAAAAAGGAACGAAAAATGGAAATATTGCTACATTACTAACCCATTATCATCCATAACAAGAACTTTCAGCCCTGTGAAATTTGCATGAACATGATTAGCTTGCACCTTAGGCACATAATGCAGCTTAGATTCAACGGGTCGATATGGAAATCCGAGTTTGACTATGAAACTGGCGGTGCACCCTTTACCCAAACCTTCACTTTCAATCCATATATGTCCTTCCATAAGATTTACAAACCTGATCAAATCAAACAAAGGGAAAAGGCATTGTTACTGCATCCTAGAAAACTGCCTAGGGATAAGAAGTAACTCCAAGCCCAACAAGTTCAAGTGCAAGAAGTGACTGGGACAAAACTGAGGGTGCGTTTGGTTAAAGTGTCAGAATAGTAATGGGAATAGGAATGGTAATGGTAATAGAATAGAATGGAAAAGAAAAGTAATGCCTTTGTTTGGTTATGAATTTAAAAAGCCGGTGGAATGAAGTATAATTATTGTTACTTTGACAAAATTACCCCTCTTCTCAGCACCATGTTGTTCATCAAAAATCTTAGCCAAATAAATAAATAAAATAAAAGAAAAACAAATTGATGGCTACCAGAGAAAACCCGTCGGACTAGCACCAAAAAGACCCTTCGGACATGGAAGCATGTCAGAGATGGTGAGAGTAGCCGGACTGAGGAAGGCAGCGAAAGTGCTCAATGATTGAGATAGAAAGTCTGAGATGAGCACCTATGTTTGTCAGAGAACATTGGATCTGGAGAGGAGTGACGGATCTAGCGAGAAGGAGAGTGAACTCAGGTGACAGATTGACGAGGCAAGCAGCCGATTTCGGCGAGTAGAGCGGCAGAGTTGGACTTTGGGTCTCATTTTTTTTTTTTTAAATCTTTTTCTTTTCAACTGGTTCTTTGAATGATTTTTCTCGTAAATATGGCATTTTGGGTCTGATGGTTTTTTTGTACTGCATCTTGAATCAATATCTATAATGGGCTTTTGATGATTCAACATGGGATTGTCTATTTTGTGGACTTTACTAACTGCGCAAGTCCATTTGTATATATGATGAACCATTTGGAAGAGTATTCAAAAAATCCTTGCCTGAATGAATGTTCAAAGCTGGGTGACTCATGAACTTGTTCACATCTTCATCTGGGTTCCTTTCGTTTTTGCGTCATCAGTACACTTTTCTATTTCGGTAAAGGAGAACGGCGACAATGAGGGTGGAAGGAGGAATAGAAGTTGGCGGAGGATGGCAGGTCGACGATCAATCAAGGAGGGCTTTGCAGGAGCAACGACAGTGCGCAGACCGTAGTCTGTTTGAGGACAATGGCGGTGGGGCAGAGAAGGACAAACATAAATGATGGTGATGTTAAGAAAGGGAAAAAGGATGAAGGGTAATTATGGAAAAGAATAATAAAATAAGGATGAAATGACAATTCCTTCCACAAATGGATGGAATGATGATTCAGCTAAAATGAGGGAAAAGTCATTCCTTCAGAAAAGCTATTCCTTATCTTATTAAAGCCAACCAAATAGCTGAATGAAGTCTATTTCCTTTCCATTCCATTCCTTTCCCCCCAACCAAACACACCCTCAACTCACACTGCATACTGCACTGCACAAGAACTGAAGATAACCACGGTAAAAACACATAGATAGGTACCTCTTACAGATTGCAAGGCCAAGTCCACTGCCACCAGAATTTCGGGTCGCTAACGGTTGAGTTTGTGTAAATTTAGTGAAAATCTTAGGAATATCTTGAGGGCTAATTCCTGATCCTGAATCTTTAACCTATAATCGAGATGAAATTATAACCACAAAGCCAAATTGAAATGCAAAAGCATAAGCACCATAAGGAAGAAGGCTTTCGAAAAAGGACAGAAGAAACAAACCTGTGCACACAAGTAGAAGTGATTATCACTTGGTAGCGGAAAAAATTCAGCAGTTCGATACTCTCTTAAAGACTCTGATTTTATGACAAAAGCAGATATTGAGATGGTGCCCTCTTTTGAGAACTTCACAGCATTACCAGTAACATTCAAAATAGTTTGCATAAGGCGTTTTTCATCACCAACAGCATATACTGGCAAATCTGAAGCTATATTTAATGTAACTGTCAACTTTTTGACGGATGCAACAGGTTTAATTAAATTAAGGACCTGCAAGCACAAATTCATATTCATTAAATAATCCATCAAACAATCTCATGAAACAATGGTGCCTGAAGTAACTAATAATTTGCAGGAACACATAAATATACCTCTCTAAATACAGAATGAAGGTTAAAAGTTCCTTTTTCAAGTTGAAGGCTACCATCCTCAAGCCTGGAAAGATCTAAGACATCATTTATAAGAGTGGCCAAAAGGTTACTACTCTTCAGTATTGTCTCAACCATCAGGCGCTGCTCAGGAGTCAGCTCAGTTTCCTGCAACAAGGAAGAAAGTGCAATAATTGCATGCATAGGAGTTCTCATCTCATGGTTCATAACAGCAAGGAAATCATTGCGAGCACGAATAGCAGTTTCTGCCTCCCTCCTGGCCAGATCAAGTGCAACGTTCTGCTCTATTAAAAGATCTCTTGCTCTCATTGACTCTTCTAGTATAGCAGCATGTGAAAGAGCAACTGCAACCTGGATTCACATTGGGGAATGAGAAATAAATACTTTTCTTTATGCAAGATGCCAAATATAATAATATACTCAATCTAGAACGAGATTTCAACCTACAACCTCCAAAAGACCATGCGACTCCAGAAGACTTGAACCACAGTTCAAGAAATCAGACCAGGAATAAAAGAATAAGCTTTCTAATGTGCTCACTATCTTCTAATATTCTACCTTGCTCGACATCTATAACATATTGCAATTAGTATCTGTTCATTAGAATGGCATAGGAGAAGATAGAGTAGTGCACTTATGATCCTATAACATAAATCCATGAAAAACATTCTAGGAGATGGAAGACAGTATTTTGCAGCAATAAGAGTTCAATTTGATAAAAGAAATAAGTTTTTCCAGAAAACTAAAAAAATTTTCCAGAATAGATCTTTAATCACGCAAGACAAAAATTTGATGCAAGTAATAATGTACTGAATCTTTAAGAATGACGTAAATAGCAAGAGGGTATGGAAAAAACTCTTTACCTGATCAGCGACTACTTCAACCAGCTCTAACTCATGGACATGCCACTGCCTAGCGCTGTCCGCAGGAAGTATCAAGACCATCAAGGCATAGCGCTTTGTTGAAAGCTCTGGCCAGTCATTTATTTGGAAGTTTGAAAGATGTAGAAGCGGAACTCGAACGGCAACAACGTCCCCATGCATATACTTTCCACTGAGAGGCCGTAGTCTGGCCACTGGGGAGTTTGGGGATATTTTCACCGCACGGTTGCTACTAAAGACTCGGTTAATATCAGGAAGATGAATGGGCACAGTATATCCAACTGGATTATGCTGTCGAAGTGTGTATGAGAGTTGAAGCTCTAACCCTGTACGCGTTGGCATCCATAAAGCACACTCTTCCAAAGCCAAAGTTCTCCCCAATTCAACTAGTGTGGTTTTTAGTATAGTATGTCTGTCAAGAGTACTCCTAATCTCATGGGTCAACATCCTGACATGCCGACCCGTCTCCTCTTGTGTACGGATCAGGCCCATCTCTCTATCAAGCTCCGCAGCCTTGTTTTTCAAGAAGAGCTCCCTGGTCTTAACACTCAACAGATCAGGTATTATATGTACAAGCATAAGGGCAGTAACACATGACACTGCAGCTGTTAGAATCTTGGCAGTGGTCATTACGATAGCCACAGTTCTCGAATGCATAGTAAAAGTCCATAAATTAATAAGATGAGTAGCTCCACACAATACAATGAAAGCACCAAACTGAACAAGGACCCATCTGTACGGGAACACCGCGGATTTCTTCACAAAGTAGATGAGCTCGAGGGGGATGGAGAAATAAGCGAGAGCGATAAAGAAGTCCGAAATGTACTGATACTTCATTAACAGTTCATCAGCAGGCCATTGTGGCTCAATGCAGTTGCAGGGATCCATGATGATGATTTGATAAATGAGCCACAGCCAGCTCAACCAATGTTTCCCCTTCACATGCCTAACAATCTAATTATAAGTTCACAAGAAAATTCCAAAGACAAACATGTTAATTGTCAAGAACCCAAACTCAAAAAATAAAAATAAATAAATAAAATAAAATAAATAAACTTGTTATAGTGAGGAAAGTAAAGTGTAATAGTTCTAACCTAACAATTCCAAGTCTAGATTTTGCAACTAATTCAAAGAAGAAGAATCAGCCACAGAAAATTTTGCAATGTACAAATAAAAATCAACGGAAATGAAAGGAAAATCTGTACAAATCCATACAAAACGAGAATTCGGATAAAGGCAAAACTTTAAAAATCGTAATCGAAGGAAAGATCTGAAGCTCCGAAAAGTTCAGAAAATCACAATCTAGGAATATGGAGAAAAGTTCTTCAATTATCTCCGAGTTTCTCAGCAACCGAAGAAACAAAGAGATCAAACGAGAGAAAGTGAGTAGCTGTGGGTATGGAATCTTACCAGCGGAGAACATGACGGCGATGGTGATGACGATCGCCAGAGGAGAAGAAGACGATCGCCGGAGGAGAAGAAGACGATCGGAAAGCGGAAGATCTGATGGCGTTGCGTGGTTCAGAAGGAGAGGATTTGGGAATCTGAGTTTAGGTCAAGAGTGTTAGGAATAGGAACGGCCGTATTCTCCCAAGTTTCTCTTTTTTTTTTCTTCTTTTGATTTGACTTAAATATTTGTTCGGTCAACATATAAATAGTTTACTCTCTGAGTCGGTTCGGCAGGGTGGCTGCTCTTGTCTTTTCTTCGAGCAGAGTACAACTTTTTGGGGCCAGTTTGTTCGTGGATTTTTTTTTTTGAGAAAAAACATTGAGTGAATTTGAAACTTGTTCTAAAATGATTTTAAATTGGTTTGGTTCATGAATTATAATTATTTTTTATTTATGTGTATTTTTTATGAGAGAAAATACTGTAGCGAATCATGAATTATGATTCGAATCAGAGAACGAATTATCCAACCAAACGAGCTCTTATTTTTTGTATAAAAATATAAATGAAAATGGTTTTAATTTTAAACATAAATTATTTTTAAAAATGTATTTGGTAGTTTTATAAAGAGATTATTTTCAGTATAAAAAATCTCATTAATGTCTCTCTCTCCTCAAGAGAGGAGAAAATGAAAATAAAAAATGAAAAATGACTAAAAATCGTTTTCATTTCTCTCTCATTTTACACTAAACAAAAAAATCATTTTCATTTCTGTTTTTTATCTTTATTGTACTAAATACCGTTTTGAAAACGGTTTCATTTTTTTTTCTCAAAAAACATGAAAAACATAAACGGAATCAATTCTAAACACGGCCATTATGTAACAAAAGATCATTTAAATCAAAATTTGAAACATTTTGTAACAAAACATGTTAAAGCTCTTGAGTGTTAGAAATAAAAGGAATTCTTACTGTAGGACATCATTTTTCCCGGTATAAAAATGAAATTTCTTTCATACAAATCTGATCTTATGTTTGCCGAATAATAACTTCTTAAAAAAACATGGACGGGAAGTTTTCAAGCAAAATTTGAAGATTAGTCTTTCTCGCATTTCTCTACTATGCCTTTCATCGTGAAATACTTAATTCTCTTATTGACAAAGAGAGGGTTGTTCTTTTACAATAAAACTCAGAAAAAGTTTAAATTCAAGTTACAATTTTACTCAAGTTACAATTTTATTCAAGTTCACGTTCTTTTAAGTTTTAACTTTATTCAACTTTATTCAAGTTACAATTTTAACTCAAATTATAACTCAAATTCAACTCAAAAATTACACTCAAGTTACACTTCAAAAAAATAACCACTTAGTCTTTTTGCTATTAGAATTAAAACAATTATATGTTCCACACATATCCAAATACATATTTTAAATTTTATTTTCTATTCCAATTCGCATTTTTAACTGCATATACAAACATTATAATTTAAACCACATTTTGCATATTTCGCAATTCTAACCAAAATGGTTTCAATCACCATAATTTGAACTCATAAATCATATGTGGATCCATAATCTGAAGACCTACTCATGAAGTACCACCGATTAAAATGATCATATCTTATACATGTTGTTTTTCACTGAAAATTAGAGCCAACATAAGCCTTCTATCACAGCCGTAACACCAAATTTGAATATTCACCTAGGTCGTGTGACAAAGTTGCTCGTGAAGAATAGTATGATTGCTGCGCAACTGTTCTTGTTATTGTTGTTGTTGAAAATAAAGGATAGTGAGATCGCTAATAGAAGTCAAATTGGTTCTATAAGAGCATTAGAGCAATACAATAATTGATGTGTCAATTACAAAGTTAATATTTGAGTATAAAAAATACTCTATAATATAATGTTATTTATTGTGTTAAATTTTATATATGCTATACTTTATGGTAAATTTTTTATCAAGTATAACATATAAAAAATTTAGTATTTGATTGTTATTAGTTGAAATGTTAAATTTTTCATGTAATCAATGCAACTTTTACATTTTTAATTATTTTAAACATAAAAATTTACTTTTACAACTTTCAAAACTTAATAATTATGAGAAAAAATAGATTTAACATTTCGTATAGCATTATGCATTGAAGTAAAAATGAAAATAACATATCATATCACACTTTTTAATAGTAAATATACAATTGACATTAGCATTTGCATTGGAGATAGTCTAAGAATGCATCTCATAGGTAAAAGTAGAAGCATGTTTGGAGGATGAGTTCAAACCACCCCAACTGGACTTCAAACAATATTTTATCTCACAAAAAAAAAAATTGAATTTAAAAGTTCTGTTATAATATTTTCTCTCATAAACTTTGAATTCTAATTCAAACCACCTGATTTAAACCCACTTTGCAAACAAGCCCTACATTTTTATTTATTTAGGTATCATTTATTTCACCAATTTGAGTTTTCAATTCTAATTTTGTTACAGTTAAAAGTTTTCATAAAAAATTACATCCAACTTTTCTGTTATAGTGAAAAGTTATCACATAAAATTATATCTCAACTTAAATTAAAAACTAACAGGCCTTATTTTGCATTTTCATAGCAAACAATAATAGCAACTCTTCCTTGGGATCATGCGGTGCTACAATGGGCCCAATGGCTCCTTTTATTCTTGCCCCCGCCCTCTCAACCCCTTAAAAATTTCAAAATTGCAATATTGAGATAGAATTTTCAAAAAGATTTCAGTTATATCCTAATATTTGAGCTTTAAATATACTCTTTTTCAATTTTATAACTTCAAATAAATCAAAAATCAATTACAATACTATGCAAATTAATATTTTTGGACTTTAATCTTAAAAAGTGGATTAAATTATATTACAAGCTTAATTCATTCGGAAGAAAAATAAAGAAGATAATAAAGTAGATAAAATGAAAGTAAAAAGATGACAAAATTAAGGAAATATAGTTGCATTATAATTTTTGGTATAAAATTTTAATTCCATTACGCCTCCTGAAAAAAAAATTTCTGGCTCCGTCAATGATCGGGTATATTAACAATTATGTCAAATTTTTGTAGGTTGGTTTAAACACTTACTCCTTATGACTTTTAGGTAGAAAATTCTTTTTTCTTGTTTATAAATTACACATCCTTTCTTACGTCCACGCCATTCTGCATTTACTTTCATTTGCTTTTCATTTTGTTGGAATGATTTCCACATGTTCTGCTATCGCTTATCACATCAGAAGCCTCGTATGGCACGAAAGTTAAATCTGGTTGTGCGTGCAATAATTCCTCATATATTAAAGGCACATTCAGAACTCATTTTAAAATAATTTTATTTTTTATATAAAAATAAAAATAAAAATATTTTCAATCCTAGACATAAATTATTTTTAAAAATTTATTTAGTAGTTTTATTAAGATATTAAAATCCATTAATTGCTCTCTCTCTCTCTGCTCAGGAGAAAACGAAAATAAAAAATGAATTTTCATTTCTTCATTTTACACTAAACTAAAAAATCATTTTTATTTTTATTTTTATTACGCTTTTATACTAAACTAAAAAATCATTTTTATTTTTATTTTTATTACGCCGAACGCTGTTTCAAAAACGTTTTTCTTTTTTTTCTCAAAAAATATAAAAAAACAAAAAAGGATCCATTCTAAACATGACCTAGATGATGATAATATATATATATATATATATATATATGTAACCGTTGTGATCTTTTTATTTGTTGAATTCCACCAGACCAAAATACTTCAAATTTCAACTTAGTCAGAGGTTTTTTTTTTTTATAGGCCTTTAATAGCGTCAATTTTTAACAGTTAAATATGATTTAAATCACATTAAATTAAAAAAATATAAAAAAAATAATTTCTGATAAGAATATAACAATTGAAAAGTAAAAAATTCATTTCTTCTAGTCGGAAAAACTCTCTACGAAGACGTACCATAATTCTGATGTTACATAAATTAAACCGACTTTTTGACCCCACTAACAGAAAACTTTTCGTAACGTCTGTGTCTATGCTTCCAAGTTCCAAATAGTAGCGCTGACATGTTTTGACAAGTACTACTACTCACGTCATGAATAGAATGGTGGAAATGTCTTTGTGGTTAAAAGCTACTTTGAAAATCATTTTGCTTCAGCAGAACAGCTAGCCGCCTAGCCCCAGATTTTCCTTTGGTAGTTCTCTCTCTCTCTCTCTCTCTCTCTCTATCTCTCTCTCTCTGTGGATTTCATACTCTTGAGTTAATGACAATTCTCGTTCTCTTTATGATCACCATGAAATTCTATTATTTATGTTTCTGAGTTTCCCTTTCTGCTTCTATGTTTTGATTTTTGATTTTTGATTTTTTTTTTTATGAATAAGGTTAATTGATGTTTGTATTCAACAATGAAATTCTGTTTTTAGGATTAGTGAAGTTCTGTATTTGCTTTTTCTTAGTTCTACAATGTTAAGTTAAGGCAGCATTTGAGAAGTCAACCATTATTAATAAACATGTATGTTTCACTTTGTAAACATCCTAAACGTGTTTTGACCAATAATTGGAGACTTTAAGAATGTCATGGGAATACGCAATATTTATACAATACATGAATATAATGAGATTAGGAATCCATAATAACTTTCAGTCATTCACAAAGAAATCAATGGAATACTTGAATATAGTCTTCAACTGAAATTAATGATCCAATTAGGCACACACCAAAAACAAAACCCATCATTTGTTTACTGCCTACTTGATATGTCTTTGAGATGAAATTTGGATTTTAGTCAACAAATAGTGGGGGTAAATTGTTTTAGGATGTTGTCAGTGTGTGCCACGTATGTCCACACTTACTGAAATTTTGGTTAATAAGATGCAATAAATGACGTAAAGATTGTGTAATATCTCTTAAAGAAATAGCCTGATAATGATGTATAATTTGTTATTTCTGTTGAAGAATTAATTATATTTGGTGGGAGTTTCCTTAATGGGAAGAACATGAAAAAAGGGAATCATTTTGTGAGGTTACTAAGCCTAAGTAGTTGTGGTCCAACAATAATGCTTTTCTCCATTCTGCCTAAGATATTTATTGTATCATCTCTAAGAAACATCACACAAAATTTGATTTTGAACTGGTATGTCATTGTTCTTTTCAGCATTGTCTTTCTGTGTTAGGCTTGGGGCTCTGCTGTGTCTTCTATCTTTAATCTTTTTCTCAAGAAAATTTGTTGTTATTAATGTTACTTCACTGGTGGTTTATTAGTTTTTTTTTTTCTTTCACCAATAAGGTTTCATTTTCATTTCCATTTGGTTTTCAGGATCAAGGATGTTCATAAAGAGAATTGCTCTAGTTCTTTTCATTGTTTTGCTGTCATGGGCGTACCAGGCAACGCGCCCTCCTCCTCCGAAACTATGCGGGTCCCCAGGGGGACCTCCCATTACTGCTCCAAGAGTAAAGCTTAGGGATGGAAGGCACTTGGCCTACAAGGAATATGGTGTCCCAAGAGAAGAGGCCAAATTCAAGATCATTTTTGTTCATGGCTTTTCTTCCTGCAGACATGAAGCGATGGTTGCCACAGAACTCTCTCCGGTACTCGTTTTTTCGCATTTTGTTGGCTACCCTTTACAGTGGACATGATCTTACTTGGAACTTATTCAAGAACTAGGGGTTTATGTGGTATACATGTATGTGTTTTGTATTTCTGTGTTGTGTTTAAGAATTGACATTTCATGTTGGACATGATCTTCACAGGAGGTTATTGAAGAGCTAGGGATTTATGTAGTGGCATTTGATAGACCCGGCTATGGAGAAACTGACCCGGATCCTAACAGAACAGAGAAGAGTTTGGCTTTGGATATAGAAGAGCTTGCTGATCAGTTGGGACTTGGAACCAAATTCTATGTAATTGGTCATTCCATGGGTGGCCAGGTCATATGGAGTTGCCTTCGGTATATCCCCAACAGGTAAGGCGCCACGGGGTATGCTCTATGGTTAGCATCCATCTTTTTTGTGTACAAAACTCAGCATCCTAAATGTAGATTTATGTTTGCAACTGAATGGTCTCTTAATTTGCCTTTGGCATGTGAGATTGGAGAAAGGAATACAGGAATGAACACTTAGGATAGAAATAATTAGGGGAAAAAATTGTGATAGAATCATATTTGCCTTGAGTATAGATTTTTCATGTATTGTTCCTCATATGAAAAAATTCAGTGGAACAAAGTGTTTCTCATATTCTTTTCCGTGGTTTTTTTTTTTGCGAGTTTATCTGGTAGGACTTAAAAAATGAACTACTAGTAGCCATCAGTTCTGTATCAGAAACTATTATGTATACTTTTTCATTCTGATGTGATTTTGACCATATCCAACGGTCAGAAATCACAACCTACTAGTAGGAAGATCTACCGGAGAAATTCCCCTTTTTTTTTCTCTATGCATACATAAATGTTCGAGTTTCAAAATGCGATCCAATCTGATGTTTGTGACACTGCCAGGCTTGCAGGAGCTGGCCTAATCGCTCCTGTGACCAACTACTGGTGGCCATCGTTCCCTGCTAACTTGTCCGTAAAGGCCTATTACCAACAACCAGCACAGGATCAATGGGCACTCCGAGTTGCTCACTACTTACCGTGGCTAACCTACTGGTGGAATACTCAGAAGCTGTTTCCTGCTAGCAGCGTCATAGCTGGAAACCCTCATATATTCTCTCCTAAAGATTTGGAACTCATCAAGAAACTGCTTTCAGTTTCGGATCCTGAGAGGGAAAAAATCAAGGTACTTACTTAATTACAATCTGAACTGAAGAACCATATACGGGCTAGGATTCAAACTCTGATTTTCTTAGGAACCATAACATGCATTATGCTGCACTGGCTCTATATCAGAGAAAGAGTTCATCTCGTTCCGGCAATAAGTTATGTTTGATTCTAGAATACTGTGTACTAAAAGATACTTGACCAAAAATGGTAAAGTTAAAAATCATGAACTTTGATGTTCAACCAAAAAAAAAAAAAAAAACATCATGAACTTTGGTTCCCTACTCAAGTCAACTAGTTTCTGTAGGTCTCAACAAAAGCATAACTCATGTTCTTTCTAAATGTTGTCTGTATCATGTAGAGAAATCAATTGTGGGTTTTCAGGAGTACTAGACTAGATATGCTTCATGAGTGGTAGATAAAATGTAGCTGGAAAATGTCATTACCATGAGGTTTTTAAAATGGCAGGTGTTGGTAGTTGTACTAACCAAGGTCTACTTCCATGAGGAAATACTTCTGAAAGAATCAATTTGATGTTTTATTTTCTCTCTGTGCAGCAACTGGTCAAACAGCAAGGAGAATTCGAGTCCTTCCATCGAGACTTGATGGTTGGATTCGGCAAATGGGCATTCGATCCAGCGGATATTAAGAACCCTTTTCAAAATAATGAAGGCACTGTCCATCTATGGCAGGGTGATGAAGATAGGCTTTCCCCGGTTATTCTAAACCGCTTTATTGCTAATAAACTTCCATGGATTCGCTACCATGAGTTACCAGGTGAGGGACACTTATTTCCGTTGGTTGAGGGAATGAGTGAAGCTATGATGAAGGAATTCCTGATTGGGGAGAAGTAGCCTGCTTTTGCTACAGAAAAAAAGTCTTCTTTTCTCGTTCTCCTTTTGAGTTTCAAAATAATGCATTTGGTTTTATGAAAGCAAATTCTGATAGGTTGTTGCAGTAATATACAATCTTCATTGATACATAAATAAAAAAGGGCTAGTCTTTTTCGTTTTTGCTTGTTCCTTTCTAGTCTGAGTTAGATTTCTTCAAACTTCTTTCCAGAAATGCTAGTATCGCTTTTTCTCACTTTCTTTATCACTTTCTACATTTATTGTTTGACGCGTGAATTCCACTAACATGATATATTATTATTTAAACAAAAAATGAAATAGTGGAGTCTACGTGTAAAACAGTAAATGCAGTGAGTGACAAAGAGAGTAAGTGAAAGAGCGATGCTAGAATTTTTCAACTTCTTTCTAGGAACCTATCGGCCTTGAGTGTGAAAATTGAAAGAATAGGAATTCGTTTAAGGGAACTAAATGCATGATATATGAAAAAGGAAGTATATTTCATTATAGTTGTATGATTCGGAGTATCATTTCCTATTTGAGCGCTTTGAATTCCATATTCGAAGTAGCAATTGGATTTTTGAACTTTTGCAGCATACCACTTGTATGAAAATCCTGGAAGGGAATCCCAGACCATTGTAGGATTGAGTCTTACCAAAATTTTATGGAAAAAGAACGAAATAGAAAAAAGAAAATCTCGAACGAACAAGAAGCAAACCTCCTCAAACCTCATCAACTGTAGCTGGCAACAACATCTATCTCTAAGGAGTTGTTTGGTTGGGGGATTCGTATCCCGATTCGAATCACGGTTTATGGTTCGTTACAGTATTTTCTCTCACAAAAAGTACACGTAAATAAAAAATGGTTCTAATCTCATGATTTTAATCCATGAACCAAACGTCTCCTAAATCAAACCTCCTCACTTATTTGAAATTGAGACTTGAAGGACTAAAAAACCATGGATGAGTTTAAGAAGCAATAATTAACTTATTCACTGTTTTTCCAGATAAATAGTACAAAATCCAAAATTAGAGCAGAAAAGGCACAAAAAGAAGTTACCAATACAAGAGAAAAAGGAGAACAAACTGTTTCCCTAAACCGCAGACGATCGTTTCACAGCATTGTCGGGTAAATCATAAAAAGATCATCCGAATGATCTACTTTACGCTCATGGTGACATTTGCCTTGGCTCGATGAGCAGTAGATCAAACACGTGAAATTAATTCTTCCTAACTTATTTAGGCAGCCCAGTTTCAGGGTTAAGAAGAGCTTGGCTTTCATCTGAAAGATAAACTGGACCTCTCCCTGGTCTGGTACAGATAAAATAACTAACATCCCCTCTGTATTTCTGAGATGGAATGTTGTCCTTAATTTCTGGGGGTGGCGGCAAAGCTTCAACATCCTTCAATCCGGCGAGCCCAGCGTCTTGTAGAATTGACTTATCACCATGAATGTAGCTGGAGAAATGAACAGAAAACCACAACGGAGAAACAGTTCCCCGCCATCAAAAACACTCGTCCATTGGGAAGATATATACGGTAATAAGAAACTCTTAAACTGATATAACTCATAACGTGCTCAAAAGAGCACAAGAAAACAATTACTGGGGGGGAAAAATGGATAATAAGGTGTGGTAATAGCATCCAAGTATAAATACCTATTCAGATCAGCATCAGAGTTGGGAGGAAAGTAGAAAAGCAGCCTCTGAAGCAAAAGAGCAGCAACTTTTCTGTTTCGTGCAATCAAAACTGCATTTGGCCCCGCATCAAAAGTATACGCCACCTATCAATTCAATAAAAATCAGCACCTTTTTTTTTGTGTGGAAAAGTACCTATTCTTTTTTGCTACTGATCAGTTGAATATCAACAATAAAAGCTCCAAAATTTGGAACCCAAAAGAACAATCGTGGAGTTAGACACCATGCAAAAGAAAATTCTAATTTTCACGAGGAATATGTTCATTTTTTAATTTTAATTTCATGTTTCAATTGCCGGTCACTAATCAGGTACAAAAATCATACTTTTTAAGTATTTAGCCTTTTAATGAGGAAAGTAAAGCTTTTTTGTTTTCCATAAATTATGATTCAGATTAACTTCATAAAGCACATGCAACCTATGAAAACATTTTTAAAAAAAATCCACTCTTAACATTTGCTTCTGTGTCCTTTGGAGGACAAAGTCTATACATGTTTAAAAGTCTTTACAAGTTTAAGCAGGAAGGAAAGCAGAAAAATGAAACCTGGGGTGTTCCTTCAGAACGATTCCACTTTTCAACAATACTGATTATCCTGAAACAAAGTTGCTTTGTCAGTACAGAATTGAGGAGTTTAGTATTGCAACTCGATGAACAAAAATACAGAAAAGGACTTGCTTGTGGGATGTGTCGTTCATGTAGAATATAGGGGGACTTGTGTCTAGGCAAACTGCATGGAACTGGTTGCTGTCTGCACAAGTCAATTGTGCAAAAGAAGCGAAATCACGATTTTTTATTGCTTCTTCCATTTGCAATATACGTTTTGGTACCACTTCCTGAAACAGTTCAAAAGAAAAGAGTTCTGAAAGTTTAATCAGACTGATTAGTTGCAGAAAGATGAACAAACTATGACTAACATAAAAATAAAAAATAAACAAAAATAAACAAAAATAAAAAAGCATGACCAATTGCAAGATTTTCAATATCCACACTCAAGAGTCGAGAGGAAAGAATGTGAAGAATAAAGAACACGGGAAGGAATTTTCATTTACTCATTCTTAAAGAAAACCAACACTAGTTACAAAAAAACAAAAACTGTAATTACCATTAGTAACTTGAGACAAAGCCGCTATTGTCAGATGATCAAAAGAATTAGAAAAATACCTTTGCCCTGTGCTGTAAAAGCAAACTTGTTTCAACACTTTCACGCATTCCTGAGGTGCTACTTGTCTCCTTTTGTCGTGAGCTTACCTGGCATCAACAGAGTCAGTAATGGAATTACAGAGAGTGTACTAGAGGAAAAAGAAGAAGATACTTAATCTGACTTTAACACTAATTCAACTCTGATGGAAGAAATTAAAAAGGGAGCACTCTTTCAATCAATAGCAATCCCATTCAGTATCTTTTTTAGCACATAAATTTTCAAAAATGCATGACAGTATAAGGATCATCTGATGTGGAACAGAAAACGATCAAAAGATACAGCATAGTGACAAGGCACTACAATGTCATGCGAACTCAGAACTTTTGTTGGAAGTCTGCTAAGTTATTAGAAACTTTTATTGTATCGTTATTTTTACTTTAGTCGGTAATGGTTATGTATTTTGAACCCTTGCACGGCTAGATGAAATATACTTCCAAAAGTATTAGAAATACCGGGAATTGAAATTGTAAATGCACGCAGCATCAGAACTTAAGGTGGATAGAAAAGAGAAAAAGTAGACAAGTAGGGATTCAGAGAATTAAGTCTTACCTAAAAGACTCTTGCAGACATATACAAGTTATTTGGCTTTAAAACGTTAGAATGAGGTTCAAAAATTATAACTTACAGAAAAATGCATAGCAACATTTCATTTTTCTCATCCAGATCCAAAGTAAATCTTACTACCAAAACAAAAAAAGTAATGTGCATAGAATTCAATTGGTTAGAAAGGCAATAATGGCCAATTACAGTGGATTGCTAAATGAAAAAAGGGATCCACTGTATAAGCACACAACTCATTCGGATAACTGAAAAACGAACTAAAGGAAGATGCATACCACAGCAACGAGAATGACAAGATCATCCCAGTGTTCCTCATCTGCGAGTTGAACTGCAAGACTGTCACTTCCATTCTTGTCCTTAAAATATTCGAGACATAACAAATCAGCATTAATTCCTCAAACTTCAAAGAATGAAAAGCTTTTAAATACAAGAGAATAAAAGAAAGAATGAGAAATCGAACATACTTTTCCCATGATCCACTTGACAAATCCACCAAATAAGCTACGACAAGCACTGCCTGAACCTTGCCTGTATTAACAAGGAGAATTCCACAATATCAGCACAAACTACAACCAGCACCTATTTATGTCTTTTACATGGAAACACACTACTAGCTAATGATTACACAGTTGCATGACAACAAAATGAAAGAAGAAAAAGTACAGTAAAATGTGATGCCTTTTTATTTATTTATTTATTATTATTATTTTTTTTTTTTGCATAAAGTAAAATGTGATGTCTTGAGTGGCCAAGTTTTGTAAATAAAAGCTATTAACCAGCTATACGCTTGATGCCATAGGTTAAAGATAACAGCAATGTAGTCTGTAGATCATTAAAAAGTTCTTGTTGTGACAGAAGCAATCTTTCAATAACCTTGAAATGGAATATATTAACAGTGGAAAGGAATTAGAAGGACCTTGCAATAGCTGAAAGCTTGCTCTGATCTTCATTCACATTCATCAACTTTGCGAGGGAAAAAACTGCAAGCACAAAAATTTTTAGGTGTAAAAATCCTAGCAACCAACCAAAAAAGTTGAGAAGCAAGAAATAACGTTACTTACGAAGATAGACACAACCATATCACAGAGTCAAAACCGGTTTCACAATGATTATGGAAAGTTACAGAATTAAATATTCTTTTTATTAGGCTTAAAATCGATAGTATATTACCGAAGCAAGCAAAACCAGCCGCAGAGGAAGCTAATCCAGCAGCAGTGGGGAAATTGTTGTATGAAGCAATGTGCACATGCAATTTTTCCCAGTCCTCCTTTGAAATTTTGATACCCTTTTCCTTGTCCTCAACATCACTGGCACGACTGCGGATTTCCCTCAGACAGCTCTGGAATCTGCCTCCTGAAAGGGAAATCTCCTACACCAACCAGCAAAATTAAAGTGCCACGAATCAGCACAACACCAAAATGATGACAAATCATGATACTTTTGAAATTCCAATGCCTTCTTTTCTTCTCCTGGAGTTTATGTGAAATTATTGAAAGTTAATAGTTCAAATCATGAAACATTTGAAATTCCAACTTCTTTCTTTTCTTCTCCTGTAGGAAATTTTATCCAATTTTTGAAAATTTACGTTCAAAACATGAATATGAAATTCCACTTTCCTTCTTTTCTTATCCTAGAGAAAATTTTATCCAATTTTGAAAATTAATGTTCAAACCTCGAATTTTTCGCCGAGAATATCAACCTCCTCGTTGGAGCAGCATTAGTTTTTCCACGAATCATATTAAATTGGAACAAAATTTTCCAGCATTTCATCAAACAGTACTATCCTTCCCGGGAAACAAACAAAGCGAAGAAAAATTTAACAGTCAGAAGATACAAAATAAAAAAGATTTAAGACCTTCCCGTTGAGCCACATCCGATCTTGATCAAAAGAGGGGCTGACGGCGACGGTGGTGGTGGTGCAGAGGTGATCGGGATCGAGCGTGACGCTGATGCTGTCGTTGACGGGCAAGATGAGCTTTTCGTCTCTCTTTCCCCAGTACTTGATGACGGCGATGTTGGTGGGCGTGCGCGCGGTCACCACCAGCACCCAGTTCTGCGACTCGGACGCCATGTATTTGGCGCAGAGGATGGAAATGTGATTTTTCGGGAATGTGAGTGGGAAAGTGAGGGAAAAGGGATCTGAGAGCAGAGTGGGAGAGTTTGGCGCTGCCGTTTGTTAATATAACACAGGCTAGAGTCTAGAGAGAGAGAGAGAGACAGAGAGAGACAGAGAGAGAGAGAGAGACAAATGGTGGGATCAATATGTGTATATATATACGTTTGTAGTTGTCAGTTGTTTTTCAGAGTTGAAAATCTTGTGAGTGAGGAAGGGGGGTCCCACTTTCAAAGTTCTATAGTACCATACAGGGAGCTAGCACACGAGTATCACAGTGACAGAGGCGCATAAATGTACGTTTATTTTTTTTATTTTTTAAATAGAAATAGAAAGTAAGTTTCACAGTATGGCGTATAGATACGTTAGGAAACGTTTAGTAAGGAGATTTATACTATGATTTGAATTATGGTTCATAATTTATTATAATATTTTTTCTCATAAAAAATACATATAAATTGAAAATGGTTATAATCTCATGATTTTAATCCATGAACCAAACGTAAATTTAGGGCCCGTTTAGTTCACTAATTCGAGTTTTTAATTTGAGTTGAGATGTGATTTTATGTGAATGTTTTTTACTGTAGCAAAAAAATTAGATTTGATTATTTATGAGAGCTTTTTACTGTAACAAAACTTGAATTCTAAACTCGAATCAGCGAAATGAACGGGGCCTTAGATCAGGTCAAACAAGTCGGTTTGAGACCCGTCACTATTAATTCGAGTTAGGCCAGGTCTGAACTTAAACTTTTTGGATTTAGTATCGGGTTGGACCGACCTTTTCTCATTTAGTCCGGCCTGAACATCATAGTTTCAAATATATTTTTTTAAAATATCTTATAAAATTTCAAGCCGGGCTAACCCTAAACTTTTTGGGTTTAAGGCCAGGCGGGGCCGACTCTCTCTCTTTTAGGACCGGGCTGACCCTATCTCTTTTAGGGCCGGACCGACCCTCTCTCTTTTAAGGTTTGACTGGGCCAGTCCAAAATTCTTCATTGGGCTCGAGCCGGGCGGTCCAAACTTACACCTCTAAATTGGTGCCTAATTGTTCATTTCACTCGTTCGAGTTAAGAATTTGAGTTAAAAAATAAATTCCCGTGAGAGAAAACACTATAACAGAAAAGGTTAAATTTGAATTTTTTTTAGAGAAAACATTGTATTAAAACCTTGAGTTGTGATTCAAAATAACGAATGAATAGGGAAGGCCATTTAGAAGGATCCACCATATGTGGGTATAAAGATATATCCTCATGGAGATAAAGAGCGCTTTACATATGAGATTTGCCTTTCACTACTGGTGATGCATAGCACCGGTGGTTAGTGGTGGAGCCATAAATTTTTTTTTGAGGAAGACGTAAGTAGAAGTAAAAATTTGTACCAAATTACAATACAATAGTCTTTTTACCTTCATTTATTTTTTTTTATCTTTGATTTATTAGAGATTTTGAATTTGAGATAAGAGTACTTAGAAAATCAAAACTTAGGGTAAAATTTAAACTTTTTAAAACATTTTGTATCACTGTTGTGATTAAAAAATTTCAGGAGGTAAATGAAGGAAGAAAATGAACAAAAAAATTAAATGAAGGGCAAATATTTAAATGGATTAGTAGACCCACGGGGGCAGCCTCACCTAGCTCCACCCTTGCTGGTAGTGCCTCGAGTAATTAAGGTGTCAAATAATTAACGAACGTTATTAAATTGATTATATAAAATATGAGATAACATTGTTAATTTTTAAATTTTCATCTCTCAAAATGTCAATTTAATCACGTAATTAATTATTAAACTTCAATTGTAACTGATTTTAAAGTCCATTATATATTTTGTCAAAATTACAAATTTAAGATCTATTATGTAAAAAATGAATAGTTTAAAATGGAACAATGCAATTTACTCTAAAATAAAGAACATATTGAATACAATTTTTACGTCAAATAGAACATTGACAATGGTATTTACGTTAAAGATGTCCTTATAAAATGGTAGATCATGCCTTATTGTACTCCTATCTTATTATACATAAGAGTAATCAGAGGAATTAACAATAAGGGAAAATACCACTCGACCCTAGTGAACTTGACAACGTTGAACTAGGGACTCACGGGAATGTAGAGCATTGTTGTGTGGGAAAATGTGGCAGACACATGGACGAACGATAATGCGACACGTGGCCTTGATTACTCTCCGCCAAGCGACAACCCTCGACGTCTACGGATCCCTCCTATTCCGCTGGAAAGCCCAAAGCACGAAGTCCAAATTAGGGCGATGATTTTTTCTGGCATCGACAGATCGCGCCGTCGAGATTAAGGCAAGGAGATCCCTCGACCGCAGAAGTAACCGCCAAAGAGGGCGATTAGGCTAAGCAGCGCTCACGACGAGGGGAACGTTCTTTAGAGGACGTGACGGGTTGCGTGTAAAAGTGGAAGACATCTGCAGGCATTAATTGTAAGCCCTCAAACCGCCCCACAGGGGACAGGAAAGTATTACAGAGAAGCACAGAGCCGTAAAAGGAGACTAATTGGCTGAGTGAACAGTGTTGATTAGTGGGCTACGTCTGGGCCTACCAAGGAATAGCGCTTGAGTGCTTTCACCTATGAAAGAAACCCCCTAAGCGAAGGAAGCCTGGTATAAAAGGAGGAAGACCCCCAGTAAGGAAGGGGACCAGAGAGATTCCAAAAAAGAGATTTAATGAGACCAATTGTTGTAAATTGTGATCTTCTCAAAAGAAATACAAAATCACAGTGGATGTAGCTCTAATTTTATAGAGTGAACCACTATAAGATTCCTCGTGTTTATTTTTGTCCATGCTTGATTTAGTTAAACACATAAACACACTTATTCAATAAATTCTCACACGTTCACTACACACCAGACCGGTAATCCCAAGGGAAACCAAGAGGTATCCCGGCCGGTTTTTGTTGGCGAAATTTGACCGTCAACAAGCATGAAGTTTAATCTCAAGTATTAAATGAGAAAAAAATGCTTAAAAATACCATCAATACGAGCCCGTTTGGTTTATGGATTAGAACTATGTGATTAGAACTATTTTCGATTTATGTGTATTTTTTGTGAGAGAAAATACTGTAGCGAATTACGAATTATGATTCGAATCAGAGAACGAATCCCTTTACCAAACGGGCTCTAAACACTATTATTAATCTGTAGGCTTCAACTATAAGACCTGCCTTTCATTAGTGGTGTTAGCACCACTAATGCACCACTAATAATTTGTTCTCATGCATCCTCAGTTATTAATAAATTCTCTTTTGACAACCAAAAAAGAATAAATTGCTTAAGAGCAATTCTATTTGTGTCGTCACAAAAAGTGAATCTTACTTGTGAGATTTAAAGCTCATTTAGTTTGCTGATTCGAGTTTTTAATTCGAATTGAGATGTGATTTTATATGAAAGCTTTTTACCATAATAAAAAAGTTAGATGTGACTGTTTCTGAGAGCTTTTTACTGTAACAAGACTCAAATTTTAAACTCGAATCAATAAAATGAACGAGTCTTTAAACAGTTATACTAGACGTGTAGGTGGGACCCACACTTTATGAGATGGTGAGAATATAAACCACATAGAATTATGCAACATTTTAGTCTCGTTCACTTTGCGGATTTAAATTTATAATTTGAATTAAGATGTAACACATTATGAAAATTTTTAACTGTAACAGAAAACGTTAAATATGACATTTTTTAACTATTTTTAACTATAAAAATATAAAACTGAAAACTCAAATCGATAAAATGAACGATAATTTTCATTTCGTGACGTGAGCATCCATATTCCAAACCAAAGTAGATCAAGAAACGGGAAGTCGGGAACACTTGTGACTCGTTAGTACTTCCACAACATTATGTATCGTGTCATCGTCATCAACGTACCAAGAAAAAAAAAAAAAAAACGTACAAAAAGTTTTCGAGAGGAAAATAGAAACAAGAAGAAAAAGATCCAAAAAAAAAGTAACTAAAGTGTCAATGTGGGAAATAGGTATATTTTGCAGCATCAACACGCAAAGCTCAAAAAGGGGAAAAAAAAAAAAAAGTTATACTTTGTGAGGGCTTCAAGGTGGGTTACGGGTAGATTATGAAAATACACTCATTTAACTAGCATATTTTATTTTCAACTTAATTTCATATCGATCCAATTTATTATATTATAATTGGAGTTTATAAATGTATATTACTGCCTGTAGGCACTCCTTAATTACCAAGCAAGCCGACATGCTTCATTTGGTTAATGCGATCAAAACACCGTAAGAACCATTCGAATTATTATTTAAAAAAAAAAAAAAAATTTTGCTCACTAAAAGTAAGCAAAAAAATTGCCAATTGCCAATAATCAACAAAAAGCTGTTCTTTAAAGATATTCAAATTGACTTTTCTTGTCATAAATACAAACATAAATCAAGCAACATCAAAGAAAGTTACATTGGTACAACAATCATAAAAGTCTCAATCGTAAAGCGTGGAAAGCGAGGAACTTGATTGGAACCATGTTTTCTGTTGTTCCACGAGAAAAAGGTTCTATTATTTGGACGATAACATCACACCACAAGAAATAAACGAGTAAATGTGAGAACTTTTATTCTATTTATTTTTGGCCGGAAAGAGTAAATATTAGAATTTAAGCATCGTTCACTTCGCGGATTTGAGTTTTCAATTCGAGTTGAGATGTGACATTTTTTGAAAGCTTTTTTACTGTAGCAGAAAAAGTTAGATGTGACATTTTCTGAGAATTTTTTACTGTAAAAACCTAAAATTAAAAACTCAAATCGGTGAACTAAACGAGACATACTTTCTTGCATACAATAGGATTAGTCTAGGAATATATTGATACTCTTGATGAATTTCATGCACAGCAAATTCTAGCTAATTACCACCCAAAAAAAAAATCTAGCTAATTACCATGCAAAATTGTGTGTTCTAAGGTTGGCCAAGACAAGAAGAAATAGTCAGCTCCACAAGAGACAGAAGAAAGGCTTGGTATTTTATTTATTTATTTATTTATGTTGTTTTATATGCTTGCAATGTAAATATGAGAACAATCCAAGGTGTGTTGGTGGATGATTATTCACCAAAAGTTTGGCAAGTATATGTGATACGGCAATATGTTAAAAAGGCCAATGTGTTTTAGAAAGGAAAAAAAAAAAAAAAAAGACAACTTTATGCACTCTGATAGAAAATCAAATATCTCAAGTAACTTTACGCTAAAACACTGCTAAGTATAAACTAAGTAATAGTCTAAAAATAATACTTTTTAAGTAACACTATATGGATAGAGAAATGCCCTTTTTCGTGAGAAATTATATTTTTCTTGAATAGTATTACAAAATACTGATGGTGTTGAGCACTACCTACTAATAAAAAGTAAATCCGATAGTATAGAGCCCATATGTGAGAGTGGTGCTTACTATTGGTTGTATTTCTAAGCAACTTTTTGTTTTTCTTTTACCTTCTCTTTTTTATATTAACCTAAAAAGATTATTTAAGGGGTATAGTTCCTAAATTTATTGTCTATCGGGTTGTATTTCAATTACACATAATTTCTGGCACTGATTGAACCATATTATTTTGAATGCTTATTCCAAAAAAAGAAAAAGAAAAAGAAATGTTACTGTGCTATCACATCATTATTTAATTGCTGTTATTTCGTAAAATATGTCTTTATAAGCTACTTTACTATTAATTTCAATCGGGTAATGGTTATGCTTAAATATATATATATATATATATATATTGGGACGTTTTGAAGAAGGATTCGGGCCATAATTTGAATTATGATTCGTGTTTCGTTATAGTATTTTTTTAAAAAAATACACGTAAAACGAGAATAATTTTGAATTTATGAACCAAACGTCATATATATATATATATATATATATATATATATTAAACATCATTTGGTCAAGAGACATGGATGGATGGCAAAATAATGGCCAATCAAAATTTATTGAAAGCTGAAAATCTCACGGAAGTCAACACGAGTATCCTACACACCCCACCAAACTTTGAGATGTTTTATTCTCTAGATCTTTGTTTTCTTGGAGATGTCGACAACTTGTTTGAAATCCACACGTGACTAAGTAGCGTGTTGTGTCGTTTAGGCAAGAAACACGAGATGAGGCAAGAAACGCAAGATGAATCAAACGCAATCTACCAAATATTGAAATAAAACTAAGGTTTTTATATGATGTTTTCTCTTTTTTTTTTTTGAGAACACATGTATCCTCTCTGTTGATCAATAGTCAAACGTTAAATCATATTAAAAAAATAATATAAATCCGATGGTTAATAAACAAGAAATACTGATTTTCTTAAAAAAGAGGAACACCAGAAAAATTATCATAAAACTATACCAAAAAAAAAAAGTCTACCACTTTTTCTTACGTTAGTATTCTTTGTTTTATGGACCAAAAAAAAAAAAACAAAAGAAAAAGAGTATTTATGGTGGAGTATATTATTTTACTCTAGTGAAAACTGTATTTTTACCATTGGCTAATCCAACGGCTAAATCCTATTGTTTCCACTGTTAGAACAAAATAAATAGCATGCCCTACCATAAAAATTAAAAAAAAAAAAAAGAACATTTTTTTCTGAGCTCGAACTACTTCGCATGTCTATCTAATGACTCAGCAAGTCCTTCCTCCAAAGTCCAAAGACAGTCTAGTGCTCAAGTCAAATGAATACAAGTGAAACTAAACCAATAGTTTTCCCTGTAAAAGATATAACATTTCCAGCCCTCCAATGTAACATTTTGTTTATTTTATTGTGACTAATTTGGTTACCAATAAACCAACCATACAGTACCGACCAAAAAATAAATAAATAAATAAACAAAGATTAGACGTTGAAAACGCAAGTGCTTTCTTTTATAATCTACTTTTGGCCAAAAATTCATGTACACAGCTTCCTCGAGTTTTTTCATGTCCTCTCGGTTCCTTTAACAAAATTGGTTTAGTAATCAGAATCTGGATCAGCATCCACAATATCAGGAAATGGTTCCATATCTGATTCATGATCCATTTCAGAAGTGAAGTCCACCGTTTTATCGGAAGTGGATGCTATAGGCGTGCCGACATCCGTTCTAGCCCCCAAGACATCTTGGTCTGTGTCCATACCATTATCAGGAGTAATCTTATCAAGCACAATTTGAGCTCCGGTTGAAACATCAATGGTTGCGGGAACTGATGAAAGTCTCGCAGAAACAGGGTCCTGATTTTGGGGCGTGCGTTCTGGATGTTGGTTGGATTCAGTCATAATTTCATCCCCACCTCTTTGTATCTCCTCCATATCTGCCTTGGCTGCTACTTCTGAATTCTGCTTACTTTCTTCTAGAATCTCTCTATCGGAACCATTGTCCGAAAGCTTTATATCCTGACAAGCAGCTAAAGTTTCGGATGGAATCATCTCAACATACTTTATAGTCTCTCCAGCATCACTCGCTGTAGCTTCTGCTTCTTTGCCATTTTCCAGCCAACTGTCACACAAGTCATCATGATCTGAGTCAAGATCATTCTGTCCCATTCCGTTTGCGCCACTTGAAAATGGGGTTATGTACTTGGGATTGCCGGAGTAAATTTTTTCTTGATATTTATGAACTCCGTCAGAAATACGATTTGAAAAGGGGAAATCCTCCACTGGAAGGGCCCTCGGATGTATAAGAACTTCCAAGGCCAACAAAGCATGGGCACAGAAGTCAGCAAGTTTTGTTGAAGTTTCTTGCTTTCCTGCAGAATTCAATATCACATAGTTACAAGAGGAAAACAAAAAAAAACAAAAAAAAAGGATGTAGTATCACTATAGTAACAGAATCCATTGAAAAAAAAAAAAAAGGAAAAAAAATCTTGAGCAGAACGTCCACAGAAAATCTGAAGGATTAGCAATATTGCAGGATAAACTGTGATCATCTCAAATGTAGGAGTGCAAGATTTTTCCTTCTCCATGCAGCGCACGTAGTCAACATGATTAGAATAAAACTCACTTTTAGACAGCAGTTTTACTACTGTCACCAAACCCATGCATACCGACCAAACACGCAAGAAAGAACCTAACTTTTAAATCATTACAATTATATCCAATTATGCACAAGCTCACCTTTTGTCTTCATTTCTAAAATATGTAATGTCAGACTCTTTGTTTCAGGCGTTTCACATATGATGATAATTGCCAATATAAAGAATTAAGAGAGAATCAGGATTAAGTTTGTTGCACCCTAAAAATACATGACAAGATGGCAATACATTAAGTTTCTTCAAACGCAATGTATTTGTCCGTACATTCAATAGTTCATCCAAAGGTTTGTACTTTGTCATGCCACAGTGATAAAAAAAAAGCACTCAATATTGTCATATATTATTACCTCTTCGGAAAAGTTCAAGACCCTCTGCTATGTAAGGTGAGCGGACACGAGATGAAAGAAAAGATGCCAAAAGCGCACGCAATGCTGCAAGCTGCATATTTGCCCAAATTTCAGTAGGACCACTATGCTGGAAAATATTTATTTCCTCACAGGCCCATCCCCCTTTTAAAGAATTTTTCACGAGATTTATCAAAAGAAGATCAAGATTTGATCTCCAGCCCTCAGATCTTAATGCACCTCCCTGCAAGAATGCAAATGTTTACTTACTCGTTAGTGATTATGTAAGGTCAGAATGGAAACAAAGCCAAACTGCTTGAGAAACACATATCATATCAATATGAAATCGAATCAGAGCACAAGCATGTTGACAAAAGAAAACATAATTTGCATACTATCAAACCCATGGAGTGCTCTCCAGTCTCCACAAAGTTCACTTTTTGAGAGGAAAGGGGTGGTGAGAATGGAATACCAAACCATGTTTAATACAAGACTGAAAAGCAAAAATTGGTATAAAATAACATGACCATCAAGGTGTTTGAGCAAAGTCACCAAAAAAAAAAAAAAAAAGACCATCAAAGTGAGGGTAGCCCAGCTCTAAGGTACAGTTAGATGTGCGGACCCAACATTTGACATATATGGGTTGTTACACATACCACAGTGAGTAGAGCTTCCAATGCCTCAACTGCAGCAATTCTCAAGGAAATTAGAATGCTGGGTTGGTTCTTCAGTGCTTCCACCTCTAAACTACTTCCACCGTGACCCTCCTCAAGGGATCCGGTTGGTGTCCCGTGTTTCCTTTTTCTACGGCTTGTTTGCTGCAATGCTTCACTAGATGTCTTCGGGTTCTCACTAGATGTTCCACCAGTCCCAGAACCAATGGGATTCAAATCAACAAATGCATTGTTCACAACATCCTGTGCAAGACAAGACGCCATTCCTGATAGATTGATGTAAATTTTTCATCAAAATGCAGTGCCCAGGATAATGTCACAAAGATATGACAGTTACAGGCAAGACAAGTAACATGAGAAGACACTATGATCAAACAAATTTGTATAATTGGAAAGTATCAAGACCTGATTCTCAAAAAAGGGAATAAGTTACAGATAACATTGCAGATGCAAAAATATTATTCATAAGGCAACTAAATTCTCTCTCAAACGTACAGTCAAACATAACAATGCTAATACTTGCAAAAGCTATTAGAAAAGGTATTCCAGTGACACATGTCAACTTCCAACTAAAGTTTTCTCTTCTCAAATATTACTTATCAGATTCAATTGGACAAAGATTATTCAGCTATTCTTGCTAAATTAAGCACGCTCCTCTTTCCTAAAGTATCTAGGTGAAGTATATTTAATGATGTCCCATGAGCTGTAAATATTAGAAAAGAAAGAAAAACAAAAGAAAGCAGACATACAAGCATACTTGCATCTTTCATAAATGATTAAGAAATGAAGTGAACTAATGAGTAATTCCATTTCCATGATAAAGGTATTTTTCAATAGTTGTAGTTGAATACCAACACTCGGCGGTCCTTGAGCAAGACTAGAATCATATGGACAAATATGTAAAGAAAGTAAGAAACTACTACATACCAACACCCATCGACAACAACAATATCTTTGTGATTGCGTAGACCTTTATCCTCAATTCTGGTAATGCGCATTTCTTCAAGTAGACTGAGATGAGGCGCACAATAGATGCAGCATGGGGTAAAAGTTGACTGTAAGGAAAAGAAAGTATGAATGGAAAGTGAGCACATTTCTTCTCAGAAGGTACTGAGAAAGAGAAAACCATACAAGGAATGGTCAAAAACATAAAAGGTGACGAGAATAAGATACTAGAAGAGAAATGTTGACATTCAAAGGTCTGAAAAGAATTACCAAGCACGTTATTGTTACTGAGAAGGTAGGTGACTCAAAAAACCAAAGTAAGCATCCGTATGTATCAGCGAATCACAAGTACAAGAACGACAAGGAACATACATGCACATTTTACTGCTGCATCAAGTGCTTGTAATTTCAAGAAATTTGAGTCATAAATTTTGAGCCCTTATTCTATCAATTCGTGGGACCTTTGGTCACCCAACATGGTAACAAAGCCTCAATTTTCTCTTTGATCTTAAAATACATGCTTTTTCTACCAAAGGGGAAAAGCACTTGAAGTTCCTTCCCGCCATTAGTTTTTAAAGTGCATGTTGATGAGTGAACATGTGTCTAAGCACACATGCTTCGAGAAAAGGGTTAATCTCATAAATGGTCCCTGATGTTTATCCTCAATCCCACTTTAGTCCCTGACTAAAACGTTCCATAATTGGTCCCTAAGGTTTTACTTTGTTTCAGTTTTGGTCTTCTCATTACCTAAGTGTCAAATATTTGATGAAATCTGAATAAATTAGGGACCAAAACTGGAAACATCTAAAGTTTAGAAACTAAAACAATACAAAAGACAGAAGTTAGTTTCCACAGGTAGGCTCTAAATTTTAACTGTTTCTAACGTTTGTCATTAATTTACACAAATTCCATCAAATATCTAACACTAAGTTAACGGAAGGACCAAAACTAAAACAGAATAAAACCTTAGGGACTAATTGTGGGACATTTAAAAGTCAGAGACTAAAGTGATACTGAGGGTAAACCTCAGGGAGAATTTGTGGGATTTACTGTTGAGAAAATGGATAAAGCTATTGTCCTCCACAAGCTTATACTAATACGAAAAACTTGGGGAAAAAAAAAGTTCTAACAGGATAATATTATATGAATACTACACATGCTTACCTGCGGACACCCTTTATGACTGCAGTAAGGAGTTCAAGACTATACAGGTGCAAAATTGGAAGTTCAGAAGAAAGATACTCTTGCTGCATAGCAGTCACAAAAGGCCTTTGGGAATGAGGCAAAGAAGCATCTATCATAAGGACTCTCTCAACAAGCGCTAACAAAGCACGAACAGGTACAGTGACCTATTATTACATGAAAACATATCATATTACTGAATAACTCCATATTGACTTACAGAAACTATTAAATATGTGTGTCTAACCAAAAAAATAAAAAATAAAAAATCATTAGGAAAAAATTGAAGGAAAAAAAAAAAGTATATTGACAGAAGACAATCTGAACTCTATTATATTGAAAGCTTCTCAAAGTAGCTACAAAATCAAAGAGCACCTGAACAGGGTATGAACTTGTTAACATTGAACAACAACAAAGCATCAATGAAGAGACATTGGATGTTAGCAGATGCTCCGACCTCCTTGAGTTGGATGATGGCTCTCCTGACAGTGCAAGTCCTCCAAGTGGAGGAGGGAGATCTTTTTCTGGTGGAATCCATAACCTTACGGCTTCATGAGATTTAGTGTCTGTAGTATAAGCAAGAAAAAATGTCATTCAGTGTCCTCAGACCACAAGGATAAAAAGTCGCTAAACAAATATACCTTCTTCAAAACCTTGGAAGGCGTTACTCAGGTGATTGTTTATCCATATCAAAATTTTTTGTATCATTATAGACCAACTTTCGTCGTCTCCTCTTGATTTTGGAAGCAATGCTAGACAATGGGCAAGCTTCTGAAAGTTGAAGCCAAAAGAAGTTCATGAGCATGTCACGGTTTTGTTGACAAGGACAAAAATACTGAGCCAATCAATGGCATAATAAGAAAACAAAAGCACTTTACCTTGAGCATATCAAAACTGCAGTTACCCGACAAAAGTTTTGAAGCAATAGCAGCTTCAGCCTATCATCACATCACAAGATAAGTGCATCAGCAAGCCAGATCTAGTGCTTTTTTCCCTAAGTAGACCATAGTTCGAAATTTATATTGTACTTTTTGTTTGCCATTTAACATTAAAAAAGAGAGGTAAGGACATACACTTTCATAATTACGACCAATAGAATATGGAAAGGAAGTAATAATGGTGCATAACAAATGAAGTGCTCCATCCTGCATGTAAAATAGAAATAAGATAAATAACTGAAAAAGAAAAGAATCAAAAGAAAGAAAAGATAAAAAAAAGATAAAAAAACCTCATCTATTCATTCCTCCAAGTGTTTTCAAATGACATGAGATACATTTAAGTAATGACTTGAGTGTTGGATGGTATGCACTTTGGAAGTCGGGAAGTGAAAGGTTGCAATTATAAGCACAAAAAGACTGATTCAAACACAAGAAACGGTCCTACAATTGATGAAAATTTACATATATCTTTAACTCAACAGATTTACAAAAACAAAAAATTTAGCCGGTTCTTCATATTTTATATCTTCCTTAGCACATTTGATAAATTAACATTGTAAGGAACAAAATATTCACTTTAGAGACGAATATCAATGGACTTCACACGACATGATCTTTAAACCACATAACACTTCTTATCATTGAATGCTGCACATGTCCAACATTGAAAAATAAATTGCCACTCATTAGAAACAAAAGCTAACGTAAAGAAGAAATTATAACATTAATTCCCAACAGCGACTATACAGACCAAAATTTATGAAATACAGCAACAGCAACAAGAAATAGCTTCTCAAATTTATAGCCACATAAGAGTTCATGTGATAATCAAATTGAAAAATGAAAATCACTGAGAATAATCAATTTTCAGCAATTAGCTTAATAGCAATAGAAAATGTTTGTGAACATATGCAACTTACCCAAATGGCCTCGGAATGATCATCATTTAACAGCTTCAAAAGTGGTTGAATGAGCTTTCCGGCAAGGGCAGTCCCATCTTTCTTTACATTTAGGAACCCTAATAACCTAAATCAACAAAGAAAATAACTTCGAAGGTCATAAAAGCAGAAACAATAACAACATAAATGGACTTCAATTAAAAAGCAATCATCAGTACTTCAAGTTGCAAGCACACTAAGATGCCATGAGAACAAGCTTCAGGAAACGATTCATGCAGAAGTCATAAACCAATGAAATGGAAGCCCTTATGATTTGGAACTTGGAAGTAGAAGTTAAGACAAAATGGAAGTTTGAGAAATGATAATCAAAGGAGAAACCCTCACAAATTTTCACATGAAACTTGGGTTCTAAAACAAAGAACATTTTTACAGCAATAACTGTGATCAAGAAATGTAGTAAAACAAAATATACATTAGGGATTGCGTACGAGCATCCTATATGCTTATTAGTGTGGAGATATTCTTCCTCATGATATTTTACACTACCTAGCCCTGAAAACAACCCGCCTTTTTCCTTTGGGGCCCACCATTGTGGAAGGGGAAAAAAAGAAGATAAATCATATAATTCAACTTCACAGGTGCTGGTAACCGCCATTAAATTCAATTGTTACCATGTTTGTCACTATTACAGGTCAATGTTTAAGAAATCCTTGACAATGGAAATGGCAATACATGTAAGTGCAGAAATGGAATTCATGACATGGACACCAAACAGTAAGGGTTTTGGTGGTGGGTGAAAGGAAGTGTCTTCCAAATCCTCTCTGTTTGGCAACGGCTAAATGTGTGTAAGATAGTGAGAGATTCTTGATACTGGGACTAGGGATCTGACTGTAAAAAATAATGAGCAGCCCCGTGCACACGTATTGTTCCTTCTTGCACAACTAAAAATTTGTTTACCAGAAATATGATATAACCTTGTGAGTAGATCTGAAATTGAGGCACACGATGCTACCTTCACAAAATGAGAAGCTTCTGGTAACTGTTTCAATCAAAACCAAAACAAATTATTGCATCTCATTATAAGACTATAAATATATCTACTTGTGCTCTCATAATTCTATATAAGAACTCTTGGCTTCAAGCAAAAATAAATTTTGACATACTTTGAAACAAATGACAGTTTTTGACATAATAAGTTCCAGTATTTTACACTTTGGGATCAGAAAGAGACTTATAAGTGCCCCAGCTAACAAAATGAGATACTGTACATAAAGGAGTTCAACAATTAAAAACAAAGGAGTCTACCATGCTGGATTTGAACTTCTGAGATTCAATCCTATACAAAAGGAGCTTAATAGATCGGAAAATGCTAGTTACACGCAACTTTACTCATAAATCTTCATTAAAATATAAAAACACAAAAATTGTTGACGAGAGAATTTATGATACTCATTACAATAAAGGACTATGACAAAGTGATTATCGTGCAGGCTAAAATATTCGTATACCTGAATATGTGATAGAAGCTTCTGGAACCAAACTGAGTATGAAGCCAAGAAACGGTCGGAGCTGCATTCTTGAATAGTTACCCCAAGTAAACAAATTCCTGCCCAACATTTATCTGGCTAGAGCAGAAACATTAAACTAAATAAGCAAACAAACATCCAAGGAATATTAAAAGACACTACTACTAAAATTAACAAACAGATGATTTTTCTTAAATTCATTTCTTCCAAAATCCATTCATATTTTACAAATTATCCTCAACTTCTGTACATTAATGTTCTTTTACTTTTCAATAAAAGTTTGGAGAATTCTGTTATAAAGTATTATCGGTAGGACACAATTCTGAATTGTCAAATCATCATATCAAGTTAAGAAAAGCATGACATTTAACAGATTTTATTAAAAGGGGGGCTTTCTAGTTTTTCTGGTAGGCCTACTGGTAGTACCAGTTTCTGGCTATTGGATCGGAATAAAACCACGTTAGATTAAAAAAAGCATGCAGAGCAGACAGCTTTTGATAATGGCTGAAATTTAAAGAACTACCCGTAGTTTATTTTTTCCTAATCCTACTACAGAAACTCCCTTATTAAAATCCGAAAGTTCAAAAATGTGATTAACAAAGGTAGTACGCTGTCACAGAATGCTCTTCACATATCTGAAAACATAGATCATCGAAAGGATCTTGAAGACCCGCAAAAACATGAAAGCCTGGTTCTTTTTAAAAAACGGATTCCCGTTTGAAGAGTGAATAACCGCCGTGGATAAGTTCACAGAAAAACTTTTTGAGAACTAAACTAGGCGCAATATAACATCCACAATTATCAAACCTATTAAACAAAACTACAAAATTTTCACTTGCTTCTAGTCTAACATTTTCCACGCGAAACGAATCAAATCACAATTCAAGCCACAATTTTCAAATGCAGAATAAATAAAATAAAAACAAATTCAACATCTCAACGAGAATTTTACCAATAACTAATTCACGCACACCATACCATATCATCGGAAACGAGCTGCAACAAGCGGTCGAGCCAAGAATCGACGGCGGATTTCCAATTGTAGAGCAGCTTTTGGTCAGTCTGAACTCCAGACGATTCGGAGAGGAGATCGTGGGTTTTGATGATGGAGATGACCCTCGAGAGCTGCGAGGGGCTTCCGAGTGGGTGTTTGTCGTCAGGGACATGATCTCTGACAAGGCTACGGAGAAGACGAGGCCGCAGAGCGACGTCGTACATGTCGTTTATGTGGTCGAAGGCCGCCATTGGAGTCGAAACTCTGAGCTCTGAGTTTGAGTTCTGCAAAAGAGTTTTGGAGGTTTAAGGGCATTTCATCTCAGTTCTCGGTTAAACCCTAATAGCCGTTTGTGTCGTCGTCTTCTGTGACTGTAAAGCGTTTTACTTTTTTTTTTTTTTTTTAAATAATAATAATAATTTACAGCGCTAGTAAGGGTGAATTCCCTTTCTACTTTTTTTTTTTTTTTTTTTAATCTTTCAACTATTGTTTCGGTATCGCGCTAGTAAGGGTGAATTCCCTTTCTTCTTTTTTTTTTTTTTTTTTAATCTTTCAACTATTGTTTCGGTATCTGACTATCTTCTCTTTTTTTTTTCTTCCTGTTGTAGTAGGTTTTTTATTTTTTGTTTTTTATTTTTTATTTTTTATTTTTTAATGTGTTGTCTTCTTCGTTTGATAACTAATGTTTTTTTTTCTTTACACGACATGAAACATTTTAGTAGGGGCACAAAAAAAAAAAGGGTTTAGGATACTCTCTAATACGCTTGACGTATTGATAAGTTAAATTTTTTAACCGTTATATTTACATATATTTTTAATTTTTACGTAATTTTATACAAATTTAATAAATAAAAAATTTAATCTACGGAAGGTCCCAAAAAGTTTTAGTAGGTAATTAAAAGAAAGTATTTATAAAGACCACATTTCACAAAATGATGTTTTAGAATAAGAAAGATATTTTATTTTGAGAAAAGTTATTTTAATAAGAACAAATAGAGTTAAAGTTATTTTCATGATAGATAATTAAAAATACAAGATTTTTGGGGTAAAGGAATAGTTATAGATAGGGGTGTTCAAAAAATCCGTCAAACAGCGAAAAACGCCCAATTTAAATAAACCACATTAAATGGTTAATTATTTTTAGATTATTAAGTGGTTTAGTCGACTTTTTAATCTAATTTTTTTGGTTAATTTGGTTTGTGGTTTGTATTCCTTAAACTGCCCAAACTGCTCAATAATCTACCAAAAAAAATATATATATAATTTTTTAATGTTTAAATGCTTTTATATTTATTTTAATTTTTATTAGTCATAATAAAGGTTCTACACTTATAAAATACACATTATCATATTTTTGTTGGTTTGTATTAAAATTTTAAATGGTGAACTATTAGTTATATTATAAACATGAATCTTATTTTTATTTTTATTAATCGATTTTATAATTTTTATGAATTATTGAAAAAAATTTTAATCTTAAACTTAAACTGCCCAAACCGTTTATAAGTGATTTAGTTCAATTTAATTTTTATAAAAAATACAAACCGTATAAACTGCCTAAAAATATTTATTTTTACTTTAGTTGGTAGTTTAAAAAAAAAAAAAAACTGCATAAACCAACTGCCAACACCCAGCAACTTTTGGAACAATAAAAACAAGTAAGGTAACGTTAGAAAAAAAAGAGGGAGAGAGAGCAGGGAGATGAAGAAGAATGAAAGGAAAAAACTAAAGAAAATAAAAGTCAGAAAACAATTTAGAAAAGAGAGTGAGAGGAAGAGCCCAAAAGAAAAAAATAGTTTAATTAAAAGTTTAAATAGTTAATTGTGAGAAGAAGAATAGTAAATGCATCGAGTTTTTAATATATATTATAAATTATAGATATAGATTAGATTACAAGCTGTAGTTGTAGGTCTAAAAAGATATTTAAGGCTCGTTTAATTCGCTGATTCGAATTTTTAATTTGAGTTGAGATGTGATTTTATATGAGAGCTTTTTACTGTAGTAAAAAAGTTAAATGTGACTGTTTCTGATAGTTTTTTATTGTAGCAAAACTCAAATCGGTGAAATGAATGAGGCCTTAATCTCTTTGAAAAACTTAATACTAATGTCATGTCAACAATCCGTTCGAATAGAGGTGGCTTTTTGAATGATTTTCTATACATTAAAGGGTGTTTGAACTATTTTTAAAAATTGAGGACAATTTAAAATAAAGTACATAGTTTTATGGGCAATTATAAAAATAATCCAATAATCTATTTCATCCTATAAAAGCAGAATGCGTTTTTTTTTTGGGAGAAGCAAAACGTTTTGTACGTTTCTTCCCTTAGAATTAGCCATGTCATTTTTTTGGGCCGATGAATAATTTAGTGTGGTGCACTTCACTGTGCGAGCCACGTGTCAGCGTGCAGTTGGTTAATTTCATAGGCGGGGCAATGCGCAGGTGGGCAGAGAACCGTTTGATTCATCTAGCTACCACGTGTCATCTTTCCAGAGGGTAAAGGAGCGAGTAATCGTGAGCCATGCCGCACCGAAACACGCACGAAAGAACGTGGTCGACAGCGTAGACACGTGGCGTGCGCTTGTTGGCTGGAGCGAGTAAGTGGCAGGCCCCACTTGCTGCAGAACCTTGCCGCACCTGCGCTTCCGACGTGCCTCTGTCAAGCCGTGTGCCACACGTGCCAATCCGAGTCGTTCATTGCTTTAATCTGACGATAAAAAAAACACAGTTTTCTTTTCTATTATTATATAATTAATTATGTTTATCAATTTTTAACTTATTTGTAGTCAAATTTTGTTCATCTTAACACCATTTTGTACTATATTTTCACTCCTATACTTAAATAAAAATGCTATGAATAATTTGAACAATAGCTAAATATGCACTAGACTAAAATAAAATAAAATCACAACAAATTAAATTAAGAACAAATTAAACAAAACAACATAAGTGATCACAGAGATTTAACGTGAATACGAAATAGAAAAATAGAATAGTAACACACAGATTTACATGAATAATTAGCGCGCGTGCGTACACACACACACACACACACACACACACATATATATATATGCAGGAATAATTAACAAAACATGCCTTTGTTACTACCACAGGCCCTGATGACGGGTATTTTTACCAACAAATCAAGTACTTTTAAGCTTGAATATTTGTAAGTTTTCAAGCCTTTTTGTTAGTTTAATGTCTTTTGTTTACTTTTATAGGAATTATAAATAAATGCGAACGTGGATGATTTTGCATGAAGAAAAGAAGAATATTTGCCCAACTTGTGAATCAATGCCAAGAGGAGGCGAAAGAGGATTTTAAGGCACAAAAGAGGAGGCTTTAGAATGCAAGAAAGCGGGCTACAGCGCGCAAAACCAAGTGAAGCCCGAACCAGCTGCGCGCCCGCGCCCACAGCCAGGGGAACGTGCACTGCAGCGCGCCTAGAAGGCAGCCCCGCGCGCTGCAGCGCACCCAATGGGCGCTGCAGTGCGCCCCAGCCAGCAACAGCGGGAGCCTTTTCCAAAAACGTGCGCCGCAACGCGTTTTCATGCAGGCTACAGCGCGCGTATGAAGCCCTAGCTCCGAAATGTTGTAGTATAAAAGGAAAAAGATGCCATTTTGAGAAGAGAGCCCGGAAATCTGAAGAAAACATCAAAAGGAGGCCGAAATCCTTCATCTTGGAGGTCCTTGGAAGCTCTTCAATGGATATTGGGTTTTATCTTCTTTCATCTATTTTTCCATGTTGAGCTAGACATTAAATCTAGGACTTGATGTAGTTTTATTTGAACTATGTTTTGAATA